CCAGGATCTTGTGGCTCGTGGGGGATTTTTTTTTCCTGGTAGGGCTGAAGTTCTCAGTGCAGAAAGAAAAGCCAGAATTTGGAGGATTAGGACTCAGTTACATTTCTCACTCTCTGAGTCTTCTCAAGTTGTCTGTTCAACATAGCCTATTAACCATTTAGCCTAAAGAAAGCTGTTACCAGGATAGATCTTTAACCTACAAGCTGCCAACAAGCCGGCAGGTGGAGGTGATGACTTCTATAGTCCAGAAATCTAACACTTAGGCAGAAAGACGCTCTTAAAGGAGACCTGTTTCTTGACACAGAGTTAGAAGGTACCCTAGAGGTCACCTACTCCAACCCCCACTTGCTCCGCACAGGAATTAACCACAGCACGCCACTCTGCTTAAAGCCAGCCTAAGCAACAATTTCCCAAACAAGCCAGCAGGTGGGGGTGATGACTTCTATAGTCAAGAAAGCTAATGCTTAGGGCGAAAAAACTCTCTTAAAGGAGACCCGTTTCTTGACACCAATTTAGAAGGGATCCTAGAGCTCACCTACTCCAACCCCCCTGCTCGGTGCTGGAATCAGTCAGCTCCAGCACCCCACTCAGCTTAAAGGAGCGCACACCTTTAAAAAAATGTTTTAAAATGATTGGGGGGGGGAGCTTTTGCAGGAGAAATTCTTGTGGGGCTCTGCAATTAAGAAAGGGGGCGGAGCCCCCCAAAGCCCCACCATAGCTATGGGTGTGGTTATATATAACCTCACTCTCTGACAATTTGCAGTTGTCTCTGCCTCCTGAAATGGCCATTTTGCAGTTGCCGTTCCAAAGGCATCTGTGGGCTTGAAAAGGTCGGGGACCCCTATGCTGGACCCAGAGAGCTTCCTTCCCACCCCTACCTTCCTTTTTCCTTCTTCCTTTTTCTGCTCCTAGAGTCACACTCCCTCGGCCCAACCATACCTCACAGGGTTGTTGTGAGGATAAAATGAAGGAGAGGAGAGCAAGAGAGGAAGGCTGGGTACGAATGAATTAACGAAATAATAAATATAAGAATGAATTAAATAAGTAACAAATAGATTTCTCTCCTAGCCATACCAACACCCCCACGATTCCCTCTTATGTGATGTCAACACTAGAATCTCTCCCACAGCGATTATAGTGTGGAGTCACGGAATGTTCACGAACATCACAAGCAGCCGATGGCTGAGGGGGTGCACGAGCGCGTCACCGACGGGCAACAGACAACTGTCGGATCTTAGCCCTTTGATATGCAGAGAAGGTGACGTGAACTCAAACGAACTGAATTTCCCATTTCCCGAGGAGCTGGATTTGCCCGGCACCTACTTGATGAATTGGTTGTAGAGGCCGGAAGTGCTGTAAATCATGCGGGCAGCTTGCGATTCCTCGTGCTGGCAGCGGGTCAGAGAAAGCGCATCGTCCATGTGTCCTTCCTGGTGCAGGATGGCCTGTGGGCATGGCAGACAGACAGACAGCCATTAAGCAAGGCTTAAATTGAAAGATCCCAACAGTCTCAAAACTGGCGGAAGGGAAGCTGCGGCAGCCATTTTGTAGGCGGCTCCACCTCTGGCAGCAGCCATCTTGTGGCTGGGGGTGCCAACCCCCTGGTGGGGGCTGGGCTTCCCCTGATATCGGGGGCCTCGATCAACTGTCGGCCGGCCAGCCGGCGGGGGAAGCCCTGCCCCTAAAGACCCCCGCCGCACCTGACACGCCCGGCGCAATATCACCCGGAGGTGACGGCATCACGCCAGGCACATCGTGCGGGGACGCTCTAGCATTTGTCTAAAAGCCTCTATGGTGACCATAGAGTTTTTAGCCAAATGCTAGAGTGTCCCCGTACAACATGCCCGGCGCGATGACATCACTTCCAGGTGACATCATCAAGCCGGGCACGTCTGGCGCAGCGGGGTTCCCAGAAGACCCCAGGACCAGGCCAGGAGCCCCCCACGGGCAGATGGATGAGACCTGCCAACCCTATTTGTACCAGCCATTTTGCAGCTGCATCCAACACACTGTTATCAGAATTCACAGGCTCAAAAAGGTTGGGGACGACTGGGCTGCACCACGGATACAAACAGGCTTGCCAACCTCCACGTGGGGCCTGGAGCTCTCTCTGAATTACAACCAATCTCCAGACTATGCAGCTTTGCTCACCTACGGAAAGTGTCTGCTTTGGAGGGTGGACTCTATGATATTACACCCTGCAGAGATCCCTCCCCTCACCAAACGCCGCTCTCCCCAGGCTCCACCCCCAAGTTCTCCAAATATTTCCCAACCAAAGAGCTGGCAACCGCGGCTGCAAACGAGCGGAGGGACTTGCTGGCCTGTTCTCCGCTGCCCTGCGCTGCCACCACCACTGCAGGTGGCCACAGGCGGTATTGCAGCTATGAACACCCCAGGGATCAGGGGATGCAGAGGGTGAGCTGGTCTTACGAAGCTGGCCACGCTCCTCCGTCTGAGCAACCCAGGGCTTTTTTTGTAGAAAAAGCCCAGCAGGAACTCATTAGCATAATAGGCCGCACCCGAATAGCATACTCATTAGCATATTAGGCCACACCCCTGACAGCACAGCTCATTAGCATATTAGGCCACACCCACATGTGTTACCAGAAGTGTGGTCATCCAGCCACACCCACCTTTTGCTTCTTATTCTGTTTACTTTGTTTATGTCAAAACCCAGGGCTTTTTTGGTAGCAGGAACTCCTTTGCATGATAGGCCACACACCCCTAACGAAGCCAATCCTAATGAGTTTCTGCTATTGGGTGTGGCCTATTATGCTAATGCGTTCCTGCTGGGCGTGGGCAACTCGGGAGCCGGCCAGAACTCCGTTCCTGTGCGTTCCTGCCCAAAAATAGCCCTGGAGCAACCCCATATGACCGCTTGGCTGCAGAACCACCACCCACCAGCCATGAACTCACCCTTCTCTTGAGGATCCCCAGGCGTAACGCCTTGGCGTCGGCTGCCGCGTACGTCACCCAGAGGCCGCTGTCCACGTGCTGCACGAAGCACATGGACTCTCCGTACTTGATCTCGGGGGCTCCCATCCCCTCCACGTCTCGCTTTGGAGCTTCATGCAGCTTTTCCTAAAGGGACGGGAAGAAGAAAGGGTTAACCGGGGTCGGCCAAGGAGATGGTCTTGGGACAACATATGGCCGTAGAACGTATTTGGAGTTCAGGGGCACTTTTAAGACCGACAAAGGTGTCTTCAAGGGATGGGCTTTTGTGCGCACGCACACTTCCTCAGATACAGTGAAGTGGAAATAGAAGTAACAGTCATACATATAGACGGTGGGCCGTAAATTAGATCTACTGATGGGCCGTTCTACTGCCTCAGACCAACACGGCTGCCAACCTGGATCTAACATGTGGTGAAGAACATAAGAACATAAGAGAAGCCATCTTGGTTTAGGTCAGTGGCCCATCCACTCTGTCACACAGTGGCCAAAAATACCAGGGGCCATCAGCAGGTCCACCAGTGGGGTCAGGTGTAGTTAGCTCCCAATTAGAGGTATCAACTGTTGTCTCCTGTGTCCTAGGCTGAACACTAACCACCACAGCCCACGGGCTCCAAGCAGTGTTCCCTCTGAGCTGAGTCAGTGTGAGCCAGCTCACAGTTTTTTAGCCTCCAGCTCACACATTTTGTCTCCGCTCAGGAAGGAGGGCTCCAGAGCAAACTAATTGATGCAGCAGCCCAATCACCCGCTCGTAACTTTAATATACCAGTCGCTCACAAAGTAGAATTTTTGCTCACAAGACTCCACAGCTTAGAGGGACCACGGGCTCCAAGTATATTGCGTCCCCCCCCATGGATGCCTCCACACAATTTCTTCCACCGCCTTTTCTACTTTTCCTTGCATAAGCCGAGATTCTTTTCCATCCTCGGAAGTTGAAAGAAAAGTATTTTTTTACCCTACAGTGGCATTGCAGCAGCTTTTATTTATAGTGGCTGATTTCGCACTAGAGCTGCCCCCAGGTTGCACCGCCGTTTGCCCCGACACTATTGGTCAATTTCACACCCGAAGCCGCGGGGCTGCATTTGACCCGCGGCTTTGCCCGATTTCCGCCGCAGTTTCGTGATCCTCAAAAAACAGGATCACGAAACTGCGGGGGAAATCGGGCGAAGCCG